GAAACTCATCCAGGCGTTTATCTTTAGTCTCATTGTTTCCTGCAGCAGCATCTTCACAGGTCTGTCCACCAAATCGATCCTCCAGCTGCAGCTGATCCAGAAGCTGCTGCAGCTGATCCAGAAGCTGCTGCTGTTGTTCTGACTAGAACCAGGAAGATGGAGACATAAGACCAGATCTACAGTCCTACAGCTGTAGCTCCCTGTAGCTCAGACTGTAAAATCCTGTTAGTTTATAAATCACTGGACGGTTTAGCACCACAACACATTAAAGATCTGCTGCTGCTGTATCAACCTGCCAGACCCTCAGGTTCTGGTTCTGGTTCTGCTCTGCATCCCCAGAACCAGAACCAAACGAGGAGAAGCAGCATTCAGCTTCTATGCACCACAAATCTGGAACAAACTAACAGAAAACTGAGAAGCAGCAGAAACACTGACTTCCTTTAAATCCAGACTCCTGGTTAGTTTCATTTGAATCGTGATCAATTTATCGACGGCATCGACTTAATGTCACATTTTATTGTTGATTCTCTGCTGCATGACTTTGTGTTTCTGTGTTTATGATGTAAAGCTCTTTGAAAAGCCTGCTGCTGACATGCTGTACAGATAACATTTGATTGATTGATTGATTGGGTGTACAGCGTTTTAATGGCGTCAGCCTGAAGATGTTGCTGGTTATCCTTCTTCTCATGGTGTGTTGCTGGTATTTGTCCTGTCTGAACCCATGAGGAGGCTTCAGAACGCCAGGCTGACGTCCGGCTCTGTCTCTTCCCTTCAGGCCGAAGGATGCGATGAGAGCGGTGAAGAAGCGGCTGAGCGGCAACAGGAACTACAGGGAAGTGATGCTGACTCTAACGGTGAGATGATGCAGCAGCTGCAGGATAAATCTGCAGCATGTCTGAGGAGTGAAGGTTGCCTCTCTTCTGGGATGAAACGCGCTGACAGCTGCTGCATCTCCACCAGGTTCTGGAGACGTGTGTGAAGAACTGCGGCCATCGTTTCCACGCCTTGGTGACCAGTAAGGACTTTGTGGACGGCGTCCTAGTTAAAGTCATCTCTCCTAAGAACAACCCGCCCACCATCGTTCAAGAGAAAGTCCTGGCTCTGATCCAGGTAGGACAGCTGCAGGTAGTCTGGGTCAGTGTGGTTCTGCAGCCGGTTCTGCTGCGTGTTGGGTTACCTGAACCGGATCAGGTGACTCTGCAGCTCCTGTTTCCATCTGAGCGGCTGTCAGGACGGAGCTTCTGATGTAGAGCTGGAACAACTGGAATAATTGATTCATCTGGAAGAATAACTCAGAGCGATAATTAAACCAAAACTACAAACTAACTCACATATTTACAGATAAAGAAGGTTTTTATCTTGCATGCAAAAGGTTTTGTACAGTTTTGGTTTAATTAATACTCTGATTGCTCTTTTTTAGCACCTATGCTTCACTTAACGATGAATCAATTACTAAATTAATTGCAGAGTAATTCAATAATCGATTGATCTGGTGAGTCATTTCAACTCTAATTTTCAGGAACAGAATCTGTAAGTGCTGCAGTGTGAAGCCTCGGCTCTGAACATGGCTGCTGAAGGTTTTGGGCTCAGACAGGAAGTGGGTTAACTGGTTGCTGGTTCTCTTCCTGCAGGCTTGGGCCGATGCATTCAGGAGCAGCCCGGACCTCACAGGTGTGGTCCAGGTGTACGAGGAGCTGAAGAGGAAAGGCATCGAGTTCCCCACCTCAGAGCTGGAGACGCTGTCGCCCATCCACACCCCTCAGCGGGTCGGAGCCGCCGCCGCTTCTCACTAAACGCCCCCACTCTCCCTGACCTCTGACCTCTGCAGCTTTATCCATGGCCTCCTTGTGTGTCGGTTGCAGGCGGCGTCGGCTCCAGAGGGCGACTCCACGCTCCACAAGTACAGCAGCAGCAGCAGCAGCAGCAGCAGCAAGGCTAAAGCTGCGCCGCAGCCCGTCCCACCAGCCTACAGCGCGCCGCAGGCCCCCAGCCTGCAGCCGGGGGGCGCCGTCACCCCCAGCCCTGAGCAGGTGCTGCAGCGAACCCTTCACTGAGCTGATGATTTATCTAAACGCCGATTAAAGCAGGTTTAGTGATTTAAAGCTGCAATATGCAACTTTAATATTTTTTAATATTTGTAGAAAATGTCATGATGGTTTATAAAGATACGCTGTGAAAAATGAAGCTTCTCCCAATTGTAGCAACCAATCAGAGCCAGGAGGTGGGACTTAGCGCTGTCAATCACCCTCAATGTTGTGCTGCTCGCCTTCACATTTGCTCCCTGCTCCGCTGCAGATAGCATAGCCGGTCATAAAAGCTAATACTAGATAGCATAGCCACCGATTATGGCGGATAAACAGTTTTCCTGTAATGGTAAGTTGTTTCTATGTCATTAGCACATTTAGCAGTGAGTACATGAGGATAGTTGGCAGCTGTAAGCCCCTCCCCCTGGCTCTGATTGGTTGTTTTTGATCCTGAATGGTTTCAGTCGGCAGTAGCAGCTCATGGAGGAGCAGGAGAGAATCGATCTGTTCACAACATGCTGTCAGTTTAATAAATATGTAAAATCATATTTTTATGAAAGTTACAAACTGCAGCTTTATTTGGTGTTTATTCCAGCTTGCAGCCTAATGGTCGTTGGTGTTTGTGTTGCTCAGATTAGCCGGCTCCGCAGCGAGCTGGACGTCGTCCGTGGAAACACCAAGGTGATGTCAGAGATGCTGACGGAGATGGTTCCAGGGCAGGAGGACGCTTCAGACTACGAGCTGCTGCAGGTCAGGCCTCAGGCCTCAGGCTGACTCTGAACACCATCATAAACCACCAATCGTCTGTCTGCGTTGTCAGGAGCTGAACAGGACGTGTCGAGCCATGCAGCAGAGGATAGTGGAGCTCATCTCCTGCGTCTCCAACGAGGCGGTGACCGAGGAGCTACTGCACGCCAACGACGACCTCAACAACATTTTCCTCCGCTATGACAGGTCAGAGCCCTGAAGCGCCTGGTTTCCACCTGGTTTCCACCTGGTTTCCACCTGGTTTTGCTCTCAACCCAGTTTTGGGTCCGTCCCAGAACTTTTGGCCTCGTCAGTTTGAAATCTGTTGGTTTCCCGTTTGATGCGCCGTCTGCTTCTTGTGCTGCAGGTACGAGCGGTTTCGGTCCGGCAGATCCTCGGCTCAGAGTGTCAACAACGGGGTGAGTGGCAGCAGACGTGCTGAACGTCTCTGCCTGGCTTTTATTGAACCTTTTCTTTAAAATCACCTGTGGCCGGTTGGCTCTCGGTTATTTCTTCTTATGTTTTCACATCTCATCATGGTGTGAATGATGGTCCATCAGTCAGATGAGCAGGCCCAGCCTGAGAGCCAGGCAGCTGGAACCAACCGTCACTTTCTCCTCTAAAACCTTTTAATACGTGTAGATTTATACTGAGACCAGGTTCTGCCCAGCAGGGGGCGCCACACTGGCTGGATCCAAAGTAAATGCATCCTGGTTATGGAGGCAGTATAACAATCAGAATCTGAATGCCTTCAATTAAAAATGGCGGCTTCTGACCGGCGCAGCCTTTGAAGGTATTCTGTTAGCCGGTTCTGTGTTCACTCTCACAGGTTGCTGTCTACTAATTAGGCAACTTGTTCAGGCTCTGGATTTTCTTTAGGGGCTTCACAGAAAAGGGGGTTGAACACAAATCCACATGAAGCTTTTCTTTCTACTTGGTATAAGTTTTCTTCAAATTAACACTAATGCACAGTTTAGTTTTGGTCTATAAAATCCCAGTAGGTCAGCAGAAGAGGGAGTGAATACTTTGGCGTGGCGCCATGAAAGATGCAGCTTCAGGCGGGATCTTCATCCAGACTGACCGTCACTCATCGTCTCTGTGCTAGCATGCTAACATTGTCCACTGTCTCTTCCTCTCTGTCCATGTGTTTCTGTGGCTAGCTGAGACAGGCAAGTATGGAAACTGTCCTCCTCTCTAAATCAGCCGCCGCATCAAAGGCAATAAAAGATGGCGGCTTCTTTAGCTTCCAGTACTCTTACCCCGTATGGCAGGAGCTCTCAAGCCTCGCAGTCAACAGATTTAACCTGTGCAAAGCAAACGGCCACTGATAAAACCCGACGCGCTGCGGCTGCTGGAGGTAAAGCTCTGGGAGACGAACCGGTGCGTTAGCTTGATGCTACAGGCACAGCGACGGCTCACCATGCGGCGCCATTGGACGTGGCAGAAGCAGAGTCACATTACAGGGGCCCGTCGGCCAATCAGGAGCGAGCGCTCCATTAGTTTGTAAATGAGGGAGAAAGGAGGATTAGCTTGGGGTTAAGAAGTTCAGCATTTGGACCGCTGGTGGCGCTCTCCTCCTGTGGTTTAACCCTCTAAGGCTTTTCCTCTAAGCTGCTTCCTGTCGTCGTCAGGTTGTGAGCTGCTGCCATCAGCATGTATTCCCTTCGCCTTCCCTCATCGCCTCAAACAGGAAGTAGATCTAGGCACCAAAATAAAAGCCTGTGCACGGCCATGTTCTCTTCTCTGCTGATTCCTGCCTTCTTAAGGGGATTCTCTTCACTTCCTGTCTCCTTTTCTGACCCTCGGTGTGTTTTCCTGCCTGACCCCTTAAGAAGCAGCTGCTTCCTGTCGCTCTCATGACTCCCTACGCTAACCACTGAGCTGTTCACCGCTGTGCATCACACCGGACTTTATGTTCTGATGATTAAAGTATTGCAGAGTGTTCCAGTTTCTCCTGAGCTTTAAGTATTGATTATTGTTTATTGATCAGGTGCTCAGTGAGGCCACAGAGGACAACCTGATTGACCTTGGACCCGGCTCGCCCGCAGTGGTCAGCAACATGCCCAGCGCCGCTCCGTCCAGCCTGCCGCCCGCCCTGAGCAGCGCTGCAGGGAGGCCCTCGTCCCCGGCCTCCCCGGCCTCTCTGGCCTCCCGCCTGGCCGGTTTAGGTCCATTTCCACCTTGTTTCTGCAGTCACACATGCAGTAATCTGCTCATATCTTTACATGTTCACAGTAACTGGAGGTTCAGACAAATTCAGTTCTGTAGAGAATCACAATCCTGGTGCTGGAATTCTGAATAGAATCCCAAATTGATTTTAGTTTGCTTAGTTTTTTGTATAATCATATCCAAACACCAGACACTGAAAGAACCACATCTGCCAGCTGCTGCTGTAGCTCCTGGGTTTGACCACTAGGAGGCAGCAGTGCTACAGATGTAATTCATGCTGGACTTTCATTCATTCATTCATGCACACTGAAACGATTGAAATATGTTCAGAGTCAGGGATTTATTAATTGGTAATAAATCGCAGATAAATAAAAATGAGCTAAGTCCTTCCTGATGACGGATTTTATGGGTTTTTCAGGCTTTTTGTCAGATTTTAAAGATGATTTTTGCTTTAATGTTGTGTAGCTGATCCTGTCTGCATGATGCCTGACTCTTGCTTTTTATTTCTGCGTCTCCTGCAGACGTGGGCGCCGACAGCGTCAGTAGCACTCTGAGCGCGCTCAGCAGCTGCAAGCCGGCGGCAGCGCAGGACGACTTCGACGTGTTCGCTCAGACCCGGAGCGGCGCGCTGGCAGAACCACACAGAACGTAAGAACCCGTTCACGGTTTCCCCCGCTGGAGCAGGAAGCCGCTGAAGTCTAACAGCAGCGTTTTGCTCTCAGGCCGTCAGCAGCAGACGCTGCAGCGGACGGCCCTCCACCCACGCTGGACGTCCAGCAGCCGGCTGCTGCAGGCGCGGTGAGTTGTGATGTCACTTCCTGAGCCTTTAAATGTCTCAGATTATCCTCCAATTGGAAGGATAGGATGCTTTATTGGGAACAACAAAACATTAGTCATAAATGTTATCCCAACATTCATGACTAAATTCTTCTTCCACTGATGACTCTCTCTGACTCCACCATGAAAACATCCTGTTCATATTTTATTTCTAAGCGGCCGTCTCTCTGTTTGCTTCGTTTTGATTATTTTATACCCAGCCGTCACTTCCTGCTGGGACCAGTAAGCACACCAGTTTGGGTCCATGTCCTCCACCTCTGGACCCATTTCACCTGGTCATTCAGAATCTTAACAGTTTTGACTTTGGCTGCAGTTAATGATTATTTTAGTTTCCAATTATTCTGACAATAGAAATGTCTCATATCCTCAGGATTATTAAATTATTGTAATCCTCATAAAAATCTCACCTGTAATTAATTAGTTTTCTTCTGAAGTGGTTATTCGATTGTTGAAATAATCGTCAACTAATTTAGTAATTGATGAAGGAATTAAAGTCCACAGACTGTTTTTGTGAAAGAACCGAGCAGAAATGAAGCAAAACATGAAGTGGAAACATTTTGAATTTAAGTTGAAACAAATATTTGGTGTGTAAATCTGTTGGCCTCCCCTTGTTCACATTGATCATCGTTTCCTGTTCAGTTAATAACGGTTAATCAGTAATAATCCCCAGATTATCCATAATCTGAATGGATGTTCAGATTTCCTCATGTTTGAAGGATTTTTAGCTGCAGACGTTCGGATGTCCTCCAGAGGAAAGCTCTTCATAAGATGGAAAAAATTCATTTTCTCTCATTTTACATGAAATAAGTTTAAGGTTAAATGAAAAACCTGCAGAATGTTTCTTTTTCTGTCAGATTAATTAGTTACTCCAGATGTTTTACTGTGTGGTTCTGGTTCTGACCCGTTTGGGTCAGTTTGGTCTGTTTGCTGGAGTCACACATGCAGATAGACTCACCATGAAATAAAAAGTAACTTTAACACATAATAATTACCAAACTGTTATTTGAGGTGAAGTGAGCAGCGGGTGGATTAGCGGGTCGTTCCAGAAGTTCTCATCTCCATCTTCAGATTATTTTCTGTCTTTTTCTGTTATCATCTTCTTCAAACATTCATGTTGATGTGTTTTAATACGCTTCAGTTTGGTTTCTGTTTCTTTGGATGTTTATTTGTGTGTTTTTCATTTGGCGGCCTCCTGCGGCGCCCCCTGCAGGGCCAGCAGCGTCAGTCCTCTGTCATGGATGACATAGAGGAGTGGCTGAGCACCGATGTGGTGAGACGGATCACAACTTTTAGTTTTCATCCTTTTCTTTGCTTTTCCTTCTGATGAATCTCTGTGCAGCTGGAAAATAAAACATCTCATTTCTTTGAAGTGGGATTAATCATTTCCTCATTTCTTTACTCACTAAGCTCAGTGTTGGTGAAGGAAACGATCCGAGAATAAAACTGATCAGCATGATGGATTAGATATCAACTCTGTCAGGTTTACATGTCTGTTTCACATCAAAGACCTGAAATTATTAATATTTTCTTCTGCAAACATTGATCTGATTTACAACCATAAACTTTAAGTATTTAACTGGTTTTATGTGTCAAAGTCGATTATCAGCTGGAAATCAATGGAGTTTCCTAAGGAAATCTGAAAAGTGTGGTGTGCATTTATGTTCAGCAGCTGTGAGTTACAGCTGAGTCAGAGATTCTGTAATTAGTGACTTCTGAAGACTGATGGTAAAATGTCCCAGTAATTATTGTGATAAACGATAATATTGTTGTTTTGAGATCATTTTCAACTAATATAATCATAAAATAAATAAAGTGACCAAAACCAAAAAATAAAATAAAACAAACCTGAATAAATAAAGTCAAACAACAAAACTCTTCTTGGAAACATTTTAGTCATCAGAGTGGGAATTATTAAGTTCATTTTAATTTATTAAAATGTGATCTATAGATTTATTACAACCAACTATGGTATCTGTTACTTGGCTTAAATCCAAATGCACTCCACACTTTTCAGACGTTTCCCTCCAGTCGTGACGTTTCTCTGTTTTTCTGTCCAACAGAAAGGAGACGAAGGAGAGGAAGGCGTGACCAGCGAAGGTAAGATGTAGAGAGCTGGTTTCATTTCCTGTTTCCTGTTTCAGAGTCACTTAGCTTCGTTTAGCTGCAGTTAGCTTCGTTTAGCTTCATCCTAGCTCTCCTCCTTCCAGAGTTCGATAAGTTCCTGGAGGAGCGGGCCAAAGCCGCCGAGACCGGCCCGCCGTCGCCCCCCAGTGGCGCGACGCAGGGAACGCCCAGCAGAAAGAAGACGGGGAGACAGGAAGACGCTCTGCTGGCCATGTAGACCATCAGCCCCCGCCGACACCCCTACGTCTCCGGACCAGAATGGCTGCAGCCCAGAGACGTCCAGGTCACCCACTTCCTGCTTCCTGTTTCCTACTTCCTGTTTCCAGACGTTTTCAGTAACTCTGAGGCAGGACGGCCCTCAGATCAGCGTTGGGTTTGTTTTAGCTGCTCCTCAGCAGAACCGACCCATTTGGTTCTGTAGGACTGACCGTCCTCTCTGATGTTTGTCCTAGTCAAATCATCTCCAAGTTGGTTTGTAAATGTGTAAATGTTTGGTGTATATTTGGCTCCGTGTTTCAGAGTCACTGGTTTAATTAGTTTCTGTTCAGAACAAAAAGGGAAAACCCTCCATGATGCGACAGGAAGAAGAAAAGCGGGAACTTCCTGTTGATCCAACTGAAGCTGCTGGCAGGGCCGGCCCAAAGCCCCCTGGGGCTCCTGTCCCCCACCGCAGGGCCCCCTTGCATTAAATCCTGACTGTTAAAAGAAGCTGCTGCCGCAGCATTTGCTCATGCTTTGGGCCGGCTCTGCCTTCACTGTTTGTTTTGTCCTGAACTCGTTTAGAGGACCAAACGTTTAAATTTTACTTCCCGTTTCTGATTCAACTTCACACTACAGATGGAGTTTGCACATCATCAGTGTTATTAATCGTATGATTTGCTGACATCTTCAGAGGCCTGACCTTTCAACACCACATTTGTTTTCAGAAATGAGTCCCAGCGCCACAAACGAGACGTTTAGATCCCAGACCAGCGCTTAGTCGCCGCGGCAACGAACGTTTCCATTGAACTACAGAAGTAATTTATTCTCTGATCAGTATTTAAGTGTTTTTATTGAGCTGAGGATCAACTGGCATCATGTCTGGACTTTAATGTTGTTGCTTCTGTTTCTGCTGAAGAGATTCCTCCCCCTCCCCCACCCGCTGCTGCTGCTGATCAGGATTTATGTCGTTGGTTGAAATCAGACAATGAAGATGAAGGTTTTAGTCTGAAGTCACCAGAACACTAACCAACGTGAAGATTGCACTTTTTAGAGATTTCCTTTGGTTTCCTGGGTTTTGTTGTCACTGGTGATTCTGGTTGCAGAGTGGAGCCGCCATGTTGGCTCTGAACTCGGAGCCGCCATGTTGGCTCTGAACTCGGAGCCGCCATGTTGGATCTGGGCTGCTCTGTGTTTCTGTTCTTCGTGTTGGTTAAATTATGCATGAACTCTAAATAAAATAATCTGTGTGATCCACATCCTTCTCCAGGTTTTTATTCCCTGTTTCCTGACCTCCACACTGACCTCGTCATCCTAAAGCTCAGCAAGAAATTAATTTAGTTCAGAAAGTCAAACTCAGATTCATTAAACTGTGAATCAGGGTTTATTATTGATCATTTTGATTATTGGTTTTCAGCAGCTGGGAACCATCAGATTCCCTCATAATGAGATTATTACAGAAAATCAATCCAAAGATTTGAACCAGGAATGTTCAGACCTGGAAGCCCCGCCCCCTCATTTCCGTATAAGGACATTCAGTTCAGATTTCTAACACACCATTTAATTGATCCTCTTCATTAATTAATTAAGTTTAAAGTTTCTGAATGCCAATATTTCTATCAAAACACTGAAATGATTTTGATCCAGAATGTGTTTGAAAAGTAAAAGTTCCTGTAATTTAATCCTGGGCGTCTCTGGTTGCTGAAGACTTTCAGGAACTAATGAACCTAAAAATGAACTCAGATCTGGTTCCAGGTCCTTGAACGGGTCTCAGGTTGGGGTGTGAATACTTCCTGTTGGGGTTTGACTGGAATGTGTATGATGATGTCACGTTCTGAGCCCGCAGCATCACAGATCCTCTTCTGTGCATGAAGTTGTTTTCATTTGTTAGAAAGTCAGAGATTCTGTGATTTTTAACCAGAACAGTTTTTTGCTTTTGGTTTTTAAATCTGCACTTAAAAACTCTATGAAACAATTTTACCAACAAAGACATTTAAATCAATTTGTTTTATTCTTCATTTAAATTTCCAACATTTTCTCTACTAAACGTCCCGTTTCTCATTTTCCAAAACAAAAAATAAACTCTTCCTGCTGATCTCTAGATAAACTATTTATTTTTGCTCATCTTATATATTTATTCAGTGTGTTTATAAATATATTCCCCATTTTTGTTCATATTCATTTTTACTGAATATTTGCTGCATTTTAAATTTGCTAAAATATATTTTTTGTGTAAGTTTTGTATGACACATTTTTTAAGTTAATTTTTTATTTATCCATTTTTACTTTTATATATTCCTTTTATTTGCATTACTAAATAGTACAACATATTTAAATGATTTTTAGTTGAAAGTTTTGCAGAAGAGACCAAACCTGATCACTTAAACATCAGAACATAATCCAGATCTGGACTCTGGGCCTCCACCGGACCGGAGGCCCGTGAGGAAGACCTCTGGCTTTCTTCATCAGCCGGAAGCAGCTTTTCAGCTGGAACCTTAAGTTTGAATTGATGAACAAATATTTCTGTTTATTCCTGTAATTTTCTCCACAGCCTCGGTGAAAAGCAAGCCTAAAACAAACATCGCAGATTAAATGACCTCTTTGTGTTTATTATTTATTGTTATTAATGTTGCACATCAGTAGTTTCCCAATTTTCTGTACCTTTAGCAGAGCCGCTGTAGCCGTCAGCGGCTCATAATGAGCTCTCCCGCTGAAGCTGCTCATATTCAGACGTGAGGAAAACTGGAAGTAATTATGAGTCCCGTCAGCGGCGGAAGCAGCGCCGCTTTCTCGATGCGTCGCAGCGGCAGCTGCCACTGTGTGCACTGACTTTTCAGCCTGCAAACACTCCTGCAGCCTCCCAGCACTTTATGCTAAGTTAATTTATCCAAATATATCCACGGCAGCAACAACTGTGTTAATGGAAAGCCGCTGATCCATGAAGGCTCGGTGCCGGGCGGGTAGCTGTCGGGCAGAACCGTCAGCAGGCGGAAGGTGTGTTTAGCGGTACCTGCGGCCGGGGGAGGAGCCGCCGTCTGGGCCGTGGTATTTAAATCGGGTCAGCCGGCCTCACCCCGCGCTGTTCGCCGTTATTAGCTGCCAGTCACGGCGGAGCTGCCGCCTCCTCTCCCGGAGTCTGACTCAATCTAAAGGTTAAGCAGGGAAACGTCCCGACCGCCATGATTGATCTCCTCGGCTCCCGTTTCCACGGGCTCCCCCCCCTGCTGACGTCACGCCCGCCGTTCAGGTGTCACTCAGCCGCCACAAAGGTCAACGGAACACCAGCTCCAAGCGGGCCGAACCGGCAGAACCTCCTGCAAAGCATCATGGGCAGGGGCGCAACTACATCTTATTCAGGTGGATGCGAAAACATAAATGCCCCCCTCACCAGAAAGGTACATAAGAGTGAAGGAGCCTAGAAAACTAGAAAACATACCTCTATCCCCCCCCCCCCCCCCCCCCACACA